ACACAATAATTTTGCTAAATGTCAAGGAGCTGAAAAAAAGGCAATGCTGTTAACATTACAAAAGACATCCAAGTACTTGCTGGAGGCTGAAAATGCAGCTTTTGCAGCTATGCAATGCGGAAAACGCTTATTGACGAGAGGTTGTCTGTGTGTGCGCAGGGCTCTGTAACGATTTTATATATTAGTGAGCTCACACTCAGCCCCGGGGTAAGCGTGGTACCCGCGTACGGGCTCGCCAAAATCTTTTTCGGGTAAGTTCATAACTCGGGGATCTGAGAAGCTAGAATGCTGGAATCTTAGGGGGATTTTCCTCATCCAAGTAGGTATTAATGAGCTGACATCAGTCCCCGGATAAACGTGATACCCACGCACGGCCCGTGAAGTTTTTTTTCGGGTAAGTTCATAACTCGGGGATCTGAGAAGCTAGAAAGCTGAGATCTTAAGAGGATGTTCCCCGTCCAAGTAGGTATTAGTGGGCTCACACCCAGTCCCCGGGTGGTCGTGCTACCCAAGTACGGGCACGCCTAAATTTTTTTTGGGGTAAGTTGATAACTCGGGAATCTGAGGAGCTTGAAAGCTGAAATCTTAGGGGATGTTCCCCGTCCAAATAGGCATTAATAAGCTTAAACCTAGCTGCCGGGTGAGCGTGGTACCCGCGTACGGGCTCATCAAAGTTTTTCTCGGGCAAGTTGCTAACTCGAGAATCTGAAAAGCTAGAAGACTGTAGTTTAAAGAGAATGTGAGCTCAAGCCCAGGAATCGGGTATGGAAGCTCAAACTCAGCGAGCTCAAACCCAGAAATCGGGTATGCGTGGTACCCACGTACGGGCCCGTGGAAGTTCTTTTCCAACAAGTTGCTAACTCACGAGCCAGGAAAGCTAGAAAGCTGAAATTTTAAGGGGATGTTTCCTGACAGTTTTGGCGGCCAGTCTTAATTTGTTTAGTAGAAGCATTTGCCGAAAAAACCGATGCCGGTAGCGACAAAAACTGCATGGGACTATGCAAAAAACGCATCTTTGCACGGGCTGCTGTGCGTTGGCCAATTGTTTGCGTCGAAGTCGACTCTTACTAATGTGGAAAAATTTAAGAACTTTTTGAGGTCTAAACTGCTTTTTTTT